AATTCAAAAAAAGAGAAGAGAAACAGAAAAAGAATCATTTGTAATTCAGAATAAATGTTGCTGGAGTAAGTAAGAAAGTTGTGATTTTGTGCATATCAGTGTTAATTGAAAAGTTTTAGTTTATTAATTAACGTAATGTAATTGTACTTATAAGGTATCTAAAAGTAACTTTTAGTTTCATTTTAAACAATAGATCTATGTACTGCTCTTCAGAACAGGATCCCCTTCTTTTTATCATTTAAGAATTACAACTAAAAACTGTGTTATATTATCTTATTTGAAATTTAGAGGTTAATTCAAATTTTCCAAATATTGCCTGTATCCATTTTCGGATTAAATGTAGAATAAAGAATTTTTCTTAAATTTTCCATTCTACGTTTGATCTGAGATAGATACAGGCAATATCTAACAGTTTATGAAAATATTGGAACAGACTCTATAAAGGTAATATTCAATAAAGATAACTTAAAATGTTGAGATAATTCGGGATTTTTTTTTTATGGTCTTCTAACCAAGAACTTTAAAGTACTCAATGTGCATTATAACACATTATAACATTTTAATATATCCTGTACATTGTAAGTTTATTATTAATATATGTTATTTTCGTAGTTGTTATAGAATATAACATAGAGAAATTATAGTAATTAGTCAATTAATATCTCAGGCATTTCTTGATATTTTGGCTGAAGTAGCTAGCTAGATCGTACACTTTTTAGTTTGATTAACTGTTCTGGAGGGGTGAAATTGAAGTGCAAATGTTGTCGAATATATGTAGATGTAAAATTTTATCATCTCTTTCTCCTCTTATTAAATATTTGTTAAAAATTAATTTTTTATACAAATAAATATTAATGTAAGTTAAATATTAAAAATACTAACTATAAAAGTATTTGGGTAAACTTCCCAGGCTCCTTTCAGAGTTCAGAGTAAGTTTCTCCCCTATAAGAGCCTCTGCCCCCATAAAAAGACTTGGTATTTAATTTTGCTGGAGTCGGAGTCTGAGTTGGCCTACTAAAATTATCAGGAGTCGGAGTCGAGTGTTTTTTTACCGACTCCGCATTGATATCTATGTTAATTAAGTAAAGACGACTGTTAAAGCTGCATTAATTAAAACTTCTGCCACATATATAAAGGAAATGCCACAATTAATTTCATGAATTAATCAAATTCTGCATTAAGCAAGGGATACCTGTAAATGACTTCTTTTCACTTTCTCTTTATCCCTGATAAATAAAAGTGTACATTCTAATTTAATTTTTAAAAATCAAAATACAGTAAAAAAAAAAAATTGGGGTTAAGTCCAAAGGGATGGATGGCTTAAATACAGTAAATATTTTTCTTTAAATATTCTATGCTGAATTGGAGGAGGTGCCATAAAATATGATAAATAACAACTTAATAACAAATTGAGTAGTAAGATAGATAATCTGTATATTTATCAAAGAAAAGCATTTGAAAAGAATATAATAATGTCAAGTAGCTAAGTAATTTCTATATATAGATATATGAGCTGGACTTGAATGGTTGCTTAATATATTGAACCTTGACCAATTTAGAGAAATTTAACAAAAACTTTAAAATATATAATAAATTCAATGATAAAAATAATAGTAGATCAAAGGGTAAATATACAACTTGTTAATTTATTCAATTTTGGCAAAAATTTTAAAGAATTATCTTTTTTATTTTTTCCAGCTCTGTTATATATAACGGGAAAGTATGGCAATCGGTCAAAAAAATGACTCTCCAAGATTTTTACTTGGGACTTTAGGACTTGGGAGACCTTAAAACATCGAGAAATGCAAAAAAATTCAGTGATTTTTTTCTGTATGTATGGAAGTATGGGGGGGGCACAGTTTTGGTTACCCTGTTTGAAGTTTAATAACCCCAGTGCTTTTTGTTGAAAATTTCTGAAATTTTGCAGCGAGGTTTGTTTATTAGGGGGATTGATGCTATTAAATTTCAGTTGTTAAATGTCAAGGTGGTGGCGAGATAGGTGGTGTTGTTTTAAACATTGCTGTGAAAGTTAAGCAACTTGTTGCTTGATTTTTAATAATAATGTTTGTTATTTTCATAGAGTAAAATTTATTATTAAGTTATGCTCTTATAATAAAGAGTAAAGAAAAAAATTATTATAAATTAATTAAAATGTAATGTTTTTTTTTTTCAATATAAAAAATAATATGGAACTATGAGCACTAAGTTTTGACTCTATGGAGGACTTATCACAGACTACTAACATTGTCGAAGTATATAGAAAGTAGAAATAAAATTATTTTTGTTTTTATAATTTAGTTATTTCTACAGTTTTACTTATTTTAACCAAGGATTTAATAATTTAGTCATTCCAGCGGTCTCTAATATTTTAGGACTGAAGAGGGACATTAAGCCCAAAATGCATATTCTTTTAAATCATAGAAAATAAACCTTCTTTTTGAACTTAAAAAGTTCTTGTGTGATTTGTTCTCAACAGCAACCTTGTACTAATTCTAAAGGAAATATAACTAATTGAGAGAACAGTAGGCAATCAAGTACTACTAAATAAATATTTAATTAAAATAAAATATTTTATAATTTATTAATTACATTTATGATTAAAATTGAAAATAGTTAATGGAAACAAGTCAAAAAGTTGAGCCAGTATGGGAATGATCCAAGCCACCTCTATCCAAATCCTTTCTGCTTGACTCTTGATTATTGCAAACATCGAAAACATGTTACACTTTTTAGTATATTATTGTATGTTCTGATGTTTAAATCGATTTTACAAAGAAATGAAAGCTCATTTACATTTAGTAATCTAGGATTTTATTATACTGGCCAAACCCTATTTTAAGCCCAATCTTGTCCAGAAAACTATTCATTTCCAAAAGTTGAGGATTGCTTATGATTAGATAAATTGTATCTTTTTGTTGTATAGTTTTGGAAAAACAATTGGATTTCTTCTATGTATGCAAAGGGTACTAGAATCGTTCGCTAGTCTTATATATTAGTCTTTCAGTGTAAAAACTGAAAATAATAAATTATGTAAATTGTTTTGAAAGAGATAAATGAATGATGCTCTAAATTGTGTTTTATTTTTGAAGTCAAAATGTTTAAAAATTTAAACATTTTAAGCTGTTTAGAGGTCAACAGGAGAAAATAATTTAGATTAACAAAGAGTACAGTTTTTGGAATGGTTTATTCTCTCGTACCTGTGGCACAAACTCTGAAAGAATAAATAAAATACATATACAGTAGAGCATCGTTTATCCGAATTAATTGGGGATTGGGGTTGTTTGGATAACTTATTTTTCGGATAACCAATTATGTACGAAAAAATATATTAATTAATTTATCCCGTGTTGAAATTTTTCTCCGTTGCGTGTTGCTTCACGTTGAATTTTCGTCTATGTTAAGCCTAACGAAGACTATTGTATCGTTAAAAATTATTTTTTTATTTTGTACAAACAAAATAAATATATTGAAAAATATAAAAACAATAAAAAATTATACTTCAGAAGTTAATTTAGTATCAAAAACATAAAATATTTGAGTAGCCGAAGACATAGCCAAAGATTACAGTGCCACAGCACTGGCGAAAATTTAAATTTGTCAACTGGAATTCCTTCGGATAACCGACCTTCAGATAAATGACACTCTACTGTATCTTTTTCTTAATGCGGGATTTGATTAACGTGCAAAATTTTTTTTATAAATATTTTCTTGCAGTTCTTTCCCTTAAACACTACTACTATGTTCTTTTTCCTCTTCTTCTATGTTTTTATGGAGAATGTAGTTCTACTTATGCTCTTTCTCCGACGAGCAGTCACTCATTGGTCACTTGAAACGTCCGGTTCGAGTGACGTAAGTTTCTAGTTCCAACACGAGGTGGCGGAGAGCGAGCTTATTCGATTGCTCATATATCGAAAGCAGCATACTATCATTGTTCAAATTTATTTTCAATGCCTCGCCCAGATTGTGGCTGCTCGTACTGAGGGCATTTTAGCCAGAAGTGGATGGTCGTCTCCGTCTCCATGTAGTGAAGGCAATTTGGTGTATTGTGTAGCAGTCTGGAGAATAAAAAGGCATTTAATGGGGTGGTAACATGCAAAATTAATTCTGGCAATTCTTTATATACGCAGCTGGAGTTTTAATTAAAGTGGCTTTACCAGTCGTCTTTACTTAACATAAATATCATATTTGATTAATGTGATTTTGATATACTCAGTAGCATCGAGGAATTAATTAACTGCATTAATGAAGAAGTACCTGTATTTGTTGTTCTAAATTACTTTTTATAAAGCTGAAATTGGCTGAGTAGGGTTAAACTTTGAATAATAGATTTTTACAAAATACAAGAATTGTTTACAGGTCAAAAATAAATAAACGTAGGAATAAAATTACAAAAATACAAATAAAAAATGTAATATAATAGTGAATAAATATAAATTGTTGTAATATCTTATCATTTTTTTCATTTTTATTTGGTGAAAATTAAATAACTTAATTTGCAAATGAACAATGGACATCTAAATGGGTGATGTGATAAGGTTATTGGCCCAGGTTCGACTATAGGTTAAATCTTCAGAAATTTCATGGATGATTTGGTTTATCTTTGCCCATCCAATCTGATAGAATGCACTAGACAGAGTTAAGAAAGAAAAACTGATGATAATGATATCAGAAATGTATGATGTACATAGAAGCATGATAGTTATTAAATTACAGCTGGTTTTAATGCAATTTCTAATGAAAATGAATCCACAAGTTGAATAATTTTTGTTTTATAAATCTAATTTCAACTGTTTTCTAAATTTGAAAAGAAAATAATATATGTTTTAATTTTTTTTTAATTTAGTTTTTCTTGATTTTTATTAATAATACCATATTACAATGGTACTGTACACACTAAAGGTCAGAATGTATAGACGGATATTTTTCATGTGGAATTATTTCAGCACAGAATATGACAATGTATGGTTCAAAATGAGAGCAAAAACAGCCTTTGCATGGAGAAATTTTCATGTTGAATCCATCTCTAAGGGAAACATGTAAACTGGTCTAGTCCTTTAACTTCTGAAAAATAAATATCCATCTGTATGCACTGGTGCAGAATTCTATGCTTAATTTTACATATGAAAATATCTGGCCATGTGTTCTGGCTCAAATATATACTTAAAAGAACAAAAAATGTTTTAATGGCATCTAAATAAACATAATTTGAATAACACTGTTGTATTTGTTGTATTTATCTTTTTATTTAAAATACGCTATGAATTTTGTTTCACCGAAGAACGTTTGTGTATCTGAAGACGAGTGACTTGACTGAAACTATTTACACACTGATTTTATGTTTCTTTAGATCCATTAAAGCATTTTTTGATTATTTATAATATTTTTATATAAAAACATTATGCTATTTTAATGTAACCATTCAATTTTCTTATTAATAGACAGAATTTTTTCAAACATGATTTAACAATCGAGATAATTCCCGTTGTCGTTCCAATTATGATCATGATACAATGTACAAAGAAACATTAGACAAAAAACCAATAAATCTTCAAATTAATGAAATTCCGTCAGATATAACAAATCTAAAATCAGATGCTTGCCTGATTACGCCATCAGAAAATAATTTAAATTTCGGTAAGATCTTTTTTTTTCTAATTTCATTTTAATCAGAAATTATTTTATAATATTTATGAATGATCTAAATATTAATGTATACAGGAAATCTTTACCTGTCGCAGGCTTGTGTGGTGCAGTGTACGTGGTCGAATTATTCGTGTTCAAATATTTGCATATTGCATTTTAACAATATACAAAATGCACAGAGAATGTACAATGTATATGTTGATTCAGTTATTTTTTTCTAATATCAAAGAAAAATGTCATTTGTAAATCATAATGTTTCCTGTTGTCTTAATTTTGTACAGATGATTTTATTAAAATGAGCATCATCCTTTGTGAAACTTGATAAATCTAGATTTACAGAACACATTTGAAAAAATTTTATAGATTTTTTTTTCACAATAATTGTGGATCTGAGAAAGAAAATAGAAAATCAGAAAAGAATAATGATCTGAATTAAAATCAAAATTTTATGTAAGTTTGTCATCGTTTTTTTAATAACTAGCAGACCCCACCATGTGTTGTTGTGGCTCAAAATGTATGTATTATAAATTTATAACACTTCCCCCGGGGGGAAATTTTTCGAAAAATTTCTTCTTAGTGTACATTCTGTTGACGTACCCTATTAAAACGCAATCAAAAACACAAAAACCCGCATCTAAAATAGTATAAATAGAAGCCGAGTTCTTTACGGTAAGCCTTAATCCTAACCATCTCCCTTCAGTGGGGTTGAATTTCGACACGTATATTATATAAAAACACGTGCATATTTGAATGCAGCGTTGTGCCAAAATTTCAAAGGAATCGGTAGGAACAAATGAACATTACATTTTTATTTATATAAATAGATAGAAGATGATCCACTTTAGTTCATTTTCACAGAAAAGCGTAATGCCTCGCAGAAAAGCAAACTTGGGGCGTCGTACTCATAGCGTCATCTGCTGGACATAAAAGCCTTAACCTAGATTATATCTTTTAATTTATATGAATGTTTAACGGAATAATATACAGCCTATGTTTACCCTGAAGTTCCATTCTAAATATTGGTGAAAGAATTTTTGAAATCGGATGAGTAGTTTCGGAGATTACCTGCTGCATAAAAACTTACATACATACTTACAAACATTACCTCTTTATAATATTAGTATAGATGAATGGGATTATAGATAAATGGGATATAGTTATTTAGATCCATGAATGTAGTTTAGATGAAGCTGTCGTATCACAGTTTGTCGCAATAGACTAAACTCCATACAAGTATAAGAACTTTATTTTGGAGTTAAAATCATACAAATACCAAGGACCAAAGAAAGAGTATTCTTTTGCAGTCACAATCTTTGTAAATTAATGGGTTAATGGCTAAGGTGGTTAAGGTAATCATTACTGGAGGACTTGGATCAAATCTGGATGAGAGACTTTTAGTTTATCATGGATGGTCTGTCCTGGATATGTTAGACTTGGTCACTTGCCATCCAGCCACTTAATTGTGGGCTTGGCCAAATACATGATTGGCATGGAAGAAAGTGCCTATAGGACAGAAAGAGTAAAAAAAAAAAAAAAAAAAACCAAAATCTTTGTAACTCATACTGATATTTAAAATATACAATGGTTTACTTTATAAATTATTTTCTTAATTTTATTGCATATAACTACTTTTACAAAAGAATCTGTACAAAATTGTAATGTTTAATATTGAAAGAAATATATTTTCTAATGTTACTAGGATGATTTTTTTCCCTATATATAATCCTGTTGTACCATAAAACATTAAATTGTACTCAACTTACTTGTTAATTTTTCAAATTTGGTATAATCAAAGAATACAAACTTGCAGTAACTAAAGATTTTCTGTATTTGGCTTGGCTGTGATATATTTTTACTTTAATTATTAAATATATCAACAATAACAGAAAACAAAAATAAAAAATATATACAGTAGAATGTAGAATCATCTTATTGTAATCACAGATATTACCATACATCAATTAATTGGTTGTTGTTGTTAGTATAGGTGAGTTTCAAATTGATTACAATATATACAAATTCTACTGAATATGTATGTATATGGTACTCAGTTAACACAGTAGATACATTCCTTGAAAGTAACACATTAAATTAAAATCTTTATCCCATAAGAATACATGCTTTAATGGTTGGATATATGTCTAGACCTCAATCTACAAGTATACATTGACTATTGTTATTTGTTCAAGTCACAATAGTGCAAATGATATTGAACACTATTGGGTAGAAATATAAACTTTATAATCTATGGGGTGAATCATTAACTCTGTCATATGTTTACCCCTAGTGGTAATGATAGAGGTTTAAATAAGTTAACAGTGATTATTCCAATAGGTCAAAGTGAATTTAAGTAAACACTACAGCAAACAGTTCAAAACTGGTCCAGGCAGGCTAGAAACTAAAGTACCAGAGTTGATTTTAAGCCATACATACTAATGACCCTTCCTGGAAGTGCATGATACTAAATAAAATGGTAAGTAGTACAAAATCTATGTGTAATTAAAATGAGAATGTATTAACTGACTGTCGTAAATGAGGACAACCCATATATTCTCTGATGAATACACTTATTTTTTTTCTGATATTGTTGATTTATATTATAGATAAGTAATATTTTTTTGGTAAATTTAGCTTTCAGTTTTATTCAAAAATAAACAAAAATATTTTATTTCCAGTTTTAGATTTGGATATCTCATTAAGGGGATTGAATTTTAGATACTTGAAACATCTGAATATATTAATAACATATCTGATTTTTTTTGTTTATTATTACATTAGTAAAATTGTGTGTTGTTGTAAATCTGAAATTGGCAGATTATTTGTTAAAAATATTTAGTGTTTAGTGCTAAATTTTTTAAAAAGTAAAGTAAAAGAAGTACTGATAGTGTTTTACTTTCTCTCTTCTTCTAAAAATCCATATTTCGATTGGAAGAATGAGCAGTTAAAAGTAATAAATCATTAAATTTAAACTATATAAACTGAAGGTAAGTTTAATATCATAATAATAATGTACATATATTATTAATATACAATTAAGTAAGTTTATATAAAATTAAGTACAAATTAAAATTAATTGATGGTCAAATTAAAGAGTGAAATAACAGGTGTATTTGGTAGATTTAATTTTTTAAGTTTTTATTTTTTCCATTAGGTTGCATTTATGCACACATTAGAAGATGGAAAAACAGGCGAAAGAAAACATTTGGAATCAGGATTAAGTTTTTTATATGCCTGAGTGTAACGTTGCAGCTTGCAACGTTACACTCAGGCATATAAAAAATTTAATTCTGACTCCAAGAGAACATTCTAGTCCAACTGTAACATTGCAAATGATTAAATCTGTAACAATTTTACCTTCTCTGTTCCTAGAATGAGTAAATAAAAAATATTCCCTTTATATCTCTGGAAATTAATCACGGAGGAAATATAATATCCTTGATGATACATTTCCTCATCCTTATTGTAATATCCTTTATTTTAAGTTTTTTTATAAATATATTTGAATATACAATAAAAATTCATCTGGAGTTTATTGTAGAGACAGCTTACATATTGTTGATAATTCCAGATTGTGTAAGACTTTTTGCTTTTGGAAGAAATAAAACTGCTTAATAGGTTTGTGAAGGTTATATGGAGATAAGAAGAAAAGAAATGTTTTAAACACAATTATATATAAAAATATAATGAACATCCCAATGCATTGATACTAAGTGAAACAATCGCTGTAATTAATTGGGCTATTATTTTTTCATTACTAATAATTAGATTTAAGTATTTGGTATTAGAGGTAGATGTTAGGCACCATCTATTATCTAATTTAATAATTTATTAAATTATTATTCTAGATATAATCATCAATGGTTATATCAATGGTTATTCTTCGCTTCCAAGCATATCTAGGTTTAAATATGCTTGGAAGTGAAGAATTGCTCAGAGGTCTGGGTGGTGTAACTGGTGTAAATATAATAATTTAGAACAATCTGGTTTTCTTCTAGGTTGTTCTAAATTATTTAATAAATTATTAATTTAGATAAGAGATTGTGCTGAATGTCTACCTCTAGTACTGTACATTCAAATTACTTAATACCTAATTATTACTAATCTAATTAGATTACTAATAGATTACTAATCTAATTATTAATGATTATGACTAATTTATTACTTTTTAAAAAAGATTAAATTGCCTGTTATAAATAAAAGGAAACAGGAATCTTCTTTGTTGAAAAGTTTGGCATGATATATCTACACTTTTATGAGCAATAAGATAAAATTATACATTATCCAAAATCTAATGACTACTTTCAATAACAAACACATATTAGTGAACAAATATAATCCATTGTGTTTAATTGTTATACAAAGTTTGATCTAATGATGCTTTAAAGAATAAAAGTAAAAGTACAGTAGAGTCTCTGTAATCCAATGTATATGGGACTGGCAGTTGTTGGATTACTGAATTTTGTACATACGTACATATTTACAGTAAAAACCGCAATTGGTGTACAGGTTAGTGTATTATATTAATCACAATTGTGATTAATACAGTAAACTAGCAACTGAAGGAATACACTTACATCAGTCTCTCTTTGTCACATACATCAATATGCGGTAACATGAAAATTTCATGTGTTCTGCCCTGCAGAGTTTCAGATTACTGGACCTGTTGGGCTGGCGAGTGACAGACTGTAGAGACTTCTATACTTGTTAATTTTTGGATTATTTATTTAATTTTAATTGTTATTCGTCTCCACACACTGGAATGTGATAAAAAAATAACTCTTACTTTTAACCTTTTAACCAGAGTGGTTGTGTTATATGTCAGCAAACGTTTTCAATGCCTTTTCTGGGCTCTTCTTCAGGCTTTTCTATAAATAATAAGCCGGATGTTGAGAATAGAATATCTTCTTTTAGGCAGTTTATCATTTGAATCATCACACGTGCCAATCTTCCAGCCGATTTAAAAACGAAACGAGTGATGTTTTGTGTACAGC